TGTTGTAAAACGTACTCCCTCCGCCCCTAAAATATAAGCATTTTTTACTCTAACACGGTCTCCGAGATGTTACTTTGACTAACAATATTTATAAAAGTAAGATGTTTTAAATAAAAATAGTTGCATATTTTGATAATTTGTTTAATACTCCCTACATTCCAAATTGATCTACATATTTCATAGGTATACCAAGACCAAGAAAAGCTAATAATTCTCTCATGCTATATTTACTCTAGCAACAAACTCAATGCATGCACCATCCCCAATATTTCCTAGCCAATAGCAAATCAAGATATTGCACATGGGTTATAAATACTTGTGTGCATGGATGCATACATCAATGTCCATTTACTCCAATGCACAAGTAACGAATAGACTCTAATAAATAAACACATATATAGATCATTTAGGAATAACCTTAAAAAAAACTATATGTAGATCAATTTGGAATGGAGTGAGTAATAATTAAATCTAGCAACATCAATTTTATATGATTGATTTTTTTTGCTATTAATAGTTAAAATTTAAAATGTTTGACTTGTCACTATGCTAAAAACACTTATATTTTGGAACAGATGTAGTAGTTATATTTTGGGACGAAGATAGCAGTTGGGAAAACTTTCAGATGCCTCCATATCAGGAGACCATGCCTGCATGATGCCTGGCAAATTATTTGAACTTCTGCGCTATTAATTAGTTTGCATCAATGCCTAATTAATGGTTGTTTGTGAAGTGGATGTGATCCTGTCCATCGTGGCAAGAGTGCATGTTTCCCCTTGCCTACCTGAAGCCTGCAGGTTAATTAATTAGCGAATCATTTGGTTTTAACTAATGGTTAATTAAATTATTTGTGTGAGTTGATTATATATATACCACTTTTCTTCAGCGAAACATCGACAAATCTAGGTCGCTTTGCAATGGTACAAATTAGTGATCGATCGACAGCAATCATGCATGCTTTCAGCAGTGGAGCAGTACTCAAGCTCAGTCTAAAGAACTTATTAATTAATTGGGTTTTTTTTTTTGAAAGGAAGGCAAGAAATTTGCCTTATATATTGATAGAGAAGGAGATTAATTGGGTTGTTAAGGGTGATGTATCTTCAGGCCAGCTTGATCAGTGCGTATTTTTTTTCCTCTGCTGCCTTTGTGTGCTTGTATCAATTTCTTTTGTTATCCGCCTTTTGCCATATACATGTCTCGCTCCCTGTTGCCCATGTATCATGATCACTGTCCCACTTGGCTAATTTATGCATTATAATGTATAAATTAAATTCGCCATTTGATCTTGTGATATTTTTAAAGATAAAGTTATGTTTGAAATAAAGATATATATAGTTTTATTTATCTCAGACAACTATGTTAAGATGATACAATTTATCTAACACCACCGCTGACCTCTAAATATTTACGATGTACACAGCCTAGCTACAATTATTAGAAAAACGAAAAAAAGAACGACATGAGACAAATGAAGCAGCAAACTACTCCCTCCGTATTTTAATGTATGACGCCGTTGACTTTTTGATAAACGTTTGAACTATCGTCTTATTCAAAAAAAATTATGTAATTATCATTTATTTTATTGTGACTTGATTTATCATCAAATGTTCTTTAAGCATGATATAAGTATTTTTATATTCGTATAAAAAATTTAAATAAGATGAATGGTCAAACGTTGGTTATAAAGTCAACGGCGTCATACATTAAAATATGGAGGGAGTACAGCCATAAGTGATCTTCATCCTTATACTCCACGGTAGCAATACTAGCTTGTTCCACAATAAAAGCCCTCGACTCCAAAGCAACACCTTCAAAAAGAAAATTATACTTACACTCCCACCGTTGCCATGATCAAATCAGCAAATGAAAGACTAAATTTGTATGTTTTCATTTTAGGGAGTAAATCCTTTGAACTTAAGACATATGTCATTGTCAGATACAACTAGCTAAGACAAGACCTAGCGATTTAGAGTGGAAGAACCGGTAATCAATGCGCACCACCTAACTAATCGAAGTCCCCAGTGTACTATTCTCTCAATCCTAGCTGATGTCACCGTATGCTCCCTTCAGGTTGATAATACTTGTCGTTTTGGATAAGGACACGGTTTTAAAAAACAACTTTGACCATTATTTTTTATTATAATATGTATAAAAGTGTTAACAAATATATGATCTTATTAAAGTACTTTTTAATACTAATATATACATGTAGTCATCATATTTGAAAGAAAAATATTTTAAAAATAATTCATAATAAAAAATTCTAAAATTTAACCTTACCCTTTTCTAAAACAACAAGTATTATCAGTCTAGAGGGAGTACCTTTCAGTCATAGCCCAACTTCAATCGGAATGAACAGCACAACTTGCAACTGTCTTTAAATGTGTAACCTTATGGTGACAAGGTCGCGAGAAAGCAAATAGACAAGCGAATCGATAGGGCACATCTAAGGAATGATGAGCTATTGGCGCAAGCGGTTCCATGAATCGAAACCAAGATGACCATGTCTACAAGCCCTGTTGGCTAGTAGTAAAAACATGTCGCAAACGGTCAAAATCAATGAGACTAGTAGTTACTTATCATCTTGGTGTAGACATGGTCATCTTTGGTGTAGACATGATCTTGTAATATCCACTGCTAAAAAAGATATTTTCCCAAATGGTCAAAATCAATTTTTCCATGTGATTGAGCCAGTTGACTGCACTAAATGATATGTAAAAATAGCGATTTTTCCATACGGGCAATGCACCCGCATGCGAAAATTGGGTGCAAAAATTGGATTTTCGCACGTGGGTGCTTATGTGGACCGCATGTAAAATATAAAAAGTCACGAAAAAAAATTTTCAAAAAAAAACCCAAGCCCTAGCCTCCCGCTGCCACCCACTCCTTCGCGGGCGCTGGCCATCGCCGGTGCCTGATCCGCCACCGCACCTCCCGCGCCAAATCTACCGGTGTGCGTAGGGGGCGGAGCGGCCGCCGGATCTGGCCGCCCTCGCCACCCACCGTGGCGAAGACTATAGCCACACCCGAGGGTCAGATCCTTTGCCGTCGTCGTCAGCCGTTGCCGCCCTCCCTCATTGTTCGCCCGCCACCGCACCCGAGGGCCGCCTCCCCGTTGGTGAGGGCCACCTCCCGTTTGTCGGAGGAGAGGAGAGAGAGGGGAGAGAAGGAGAGGAGAGAAATGAGAGAAAAATATAAAGTGAGAGAGAGAGAGAGGAGAATGGTGAAAAAAATTGAAATGGGTGAGGAGGGAAAGAGAGAGGAGGGAAAAAAGAGGGGTTATTTTTGCATGTGGACCACTTAAGGGGCTGCATGCAAAAATAGGGGCATTTGCGAAAATAAATTTGCTTTTTCATGCGGTCTCTTAAGAGCTTCATCTATAAAAAATAAAATTTTGCGTGCGTTCCTCTTTACAAGCCGTGTGTGAAAGGTGGGTCGATTTTTATAGACGCTGATACTTATGGGCCATCTACAACCTATTGAGGTGCTTGTTCAGGAAAATCATTTTTATACTGGTGATCTGTTAACTTAATTTGAAGAAAATGATATGATACATGTACAAAATAAAAGTATTATAACAGTAAATTGTATGACTATAAGACTAGAACATTACACGCTCTTGGCTGGAATTTAAGAAAACCGTATGTTACATATATATATCCCTCGACGTGACATTAACCAGAGGCAACGAACCAAACACGCGTGAAAACGCACTAGCTAGGTAGCTCTAACTCGATTGAGATACGTACTGCCACTAGTTGTAGTGGATTTCAATTTCCAATTCGATGGAAATAGCTAGCTAAGGACGGAGTTATGCCTTTTAAACAATACTTTTTTAGTAGATTTTAAACAATACTTTAACTTGATTTAGATCTATACTAATTGCTGTACAATACCAAATAAGTGACGCTAACTTTATGCCGGTTCACTTAAAACTAACATACTATATATAAAAGATATTTTTCAGTTAGGACATGTACAGTAGTGTCTAATAACGAGCTCTCTTCGTTATCATACAAATAAATTTGGTGGTGTGGAAGAAAGAGAGGGAAGGAAGGAGAAACATCGTTGCTACGCATGACCACGGCTCAGAGTCGACTCTTAGCATTTGTTAACCGAAAATTTGTTGCATGAGGGTAGAGAAAAGGAAAGAAGTATAAAAAAAATATTTAGTGCATTAATGGTTTAAAAATTTTGGAGTATCGTCTCTAATGACATTAATTAACAGAGAGAGCTTATATTAGACTCTTTGTTTGTACATGCCTTTAATCCGAGCCATGCGAAGATTAAAGTTAAAAATCGGCACGTATATATACAGGTTTTTATTAGCAACCACCGTCACATATAAATTAATATGTGCCGATTTTCACCCGGCATACATATATATTAATACATACGTGGAGTAAACCTAAGTTGTTTTGCCTTTAATTAATTTAACTGCCATTATTATGTACTTTCAGAGATGGTTGGATTGAACGGTCCAGATGAGTGATGGAGCTAGCTATATTCCATCATATAATATTCTCCGAAACAAAGTGCGTGAAACCGGACCAATCTACGTCACTCACCTACTACCACAAGATAACAAGTCATCATTTTGGATAGTCTCTTTCGCTAGTTCGTTCGAGTATACACTTCGCAAGCAACGAACAGGTTATTATGCTTCATAAAAAAGAGAAGAATTTAATAAATTGTAACTGATCTAGCTGATTATATATACTCCCTCCGTCCCTAAATATTCGACGCCGTTGACTTTTTTAAACATGTTTAACCGTTCATCTTATACATAATTATTTAAGTATCTTTTAATAAAACGAACGGTCAAACATGTTTAAAAAAGTCAACGGCATCGAATAACTAGGGACGGAGGGAGTATATACTGATACACATACATTATTCCATAATATCCACTTAATTAATTAACTAAAGATATAAGATATAGTATAGCTCGAGCTAGCTAGCCTATATATACACATGGCACTGGCTCTTGCATCTCCACACACACACACACATTCAATTCACATACAAAAACTAAGCTAGCTAAGCTAAGCTAAGCGAGATTATCACAGTAGCTAGCTAGCTAGCTGAATTAATTAGCATGGGATTCACGGTGACGAGGACGAGCAGGTCGCTGGTGGCGCCGTCGTCGCCGACGCCGGCGGAGACGCTGCCGCTGTCGGTGATCGACCGCGTGGCGGGGCTGCGCCACCTGGTGCGGTCGCTGCACGTCTTCGAGGCCGGCGGCCGCAACGGCGGCGGCGAGCCGGCGAGGGTGGTGATCAGGGAGGCGCTGGGGAAGGCGCTGGTGGAGTACCACCCGTTCGCCGGGAGGTTCGTGGAGGGCGACGGCGGCGGCGAGGTGGCGGTGGCGTGCACCGGCGAGGGGGCGTGGTTCGTGGAGGCGACGGCGGCGTGCAGCCTGGAGGAGGTGAAGCTGCTGGACCACCCGATGGTGATCCCCAAGGAGGAGCTCCTGCCGGAGCCGGCGCCCGACGTCCAGCCGCTCGACATCCCTCTCATGATGCAGGTATATATTTATGGATTCAAATTCAGAATTTTTGAATTTCCTACAAAGTTTCGCTAGACTTTGTATTCTTATAAAAAATAATAACGTAACTAATCTGGATCGATGATCATATTGCTAACTCCATCCTACAATATACGAGATTTTATCCATACAGTTATATGGAGTAAAAAACATATATATTAATTATTGCATATGTAGTGCCCAACATTATAAAGATTTATATATGTACCGTCTTTACTTTAAATAAACGGGTGGACATCTACTTATACTACATCATCACATAATATGTATGATTTTGTCAATATAATTAGTATAAAGTCACTTATATTATAGGATGGAGGTAGCATATATATATTCGTATATTGATAACTAGCTAAGTGGTATCATCATCTACGGACCATTATATGATTTGGCGGGAGATCAATTATAGTAGATTTACTGTCTAATATTAAAAAGATTTATGTATAGCCATCTTTACTCTAAATTCTAGCTATGCTACTTAGGGTCTGTTTGGGAGAGCTTCTAGCTGCTAGAATTTCTCCCAGAATTAGAAGCTCCTCAGACAGTTCAGCTTTTGGTTTAGATTCTGAGAAGTTGTACTTGTATGATCTAGAAAATAAACTAGAAGCCAGAAGTTATAGGAAACCTAGCTTTTTTTAGATTCTCAAAAGCTAGCTACCGACTAACTATTTCTTAGAATTTTAAGCACCCCAAACTAACCCCTAAACTGGTTACAAAGACATGGCATGCTTTAGCGCGTTGGATGCATGGGCCATGCATGCATATGCGTTCTTATATATATATATATATATATATATATATATATATATATATATATATATATCTCCTTTGGTTGTGCTACACGTGGTGTGTCCCCATATGTAGATGAGATCGTGGCATGCATCGATATCAACATGTACAACTAAACTATTCTCGATGATCACTGATCACTCACTATCGGGGTAGGTAAGTCGATCAATCGGATGGCTCTCTCCATCTTGCAATCTTCGATTCCCTTTATTTTATTTAATAGTATACAATAAAGAAATATATATCCACGTATACCATATAATCATTTATCATACATGTGCTGTTTATGTGTCTACTCGTAAAAGTGTGTTCTTTTTAATTATATGCTCAAAAGATTTATAAATGATGAAGACCATATATATATATATATATATATATATATATATATATATATATATATATATATATATGCAAGTCATCAACACACTGTACAAAATTCTCACAAAAATTTTCCCATATATATGTTCATAAATCAATATCAGGATTTGATAACTCTGGTTGATAGAGTCATGCACCAGTAATTTTACCCATAAACTATATATAAAATAAAATCGTGGACAAATCCCCCACTAATAAACTGTGTTGGTACACTCTAGTAAATAATAAAGAAATCTGGTGGCCTCCCACAGCCACATATTATTGTGTTGAAGTCGGTCGTCGATCACATATAAACCAACAACAAAAGGGGGCCACACAAAAGGCCGCATATTAATTTATTTCCAGTTGATTAACAAAATGACCCTATATACTATCTTTTCTTGCTTGGTGGAAAAGAAAAGCTAGAGGTCAGTTAATTATAAGTAAAATATAATTAATCACACCATGTGTCTTGCTGTGAACACTGTACTGGAAGAAGTTAGGTACACACATTATGTAGTGCTACGCACTACGTGTTGAAATTAAATGTGCTCTGTTTGCTTGCACAACATCCATTTGTCAGGCATGCAGACAGGCAACTTATATGCGTGTATGCAGCTCAGGCATCCTCTCGAGAATCCATTATCATCCATCTCTTTCGCAACTTCGCGAGAAGTGTACATGTACGTACCCACACTACAAAATTAGATGGATCACCTACCGCATTATATTAGTTACCTCTGTTTGGTAATGCATCTTACACTCTCCCATCTGTTTGGTATAAAACTTTTAATACATATCTCAACGATTCAGAAGTAAATACAGTAAAATAAACTATGATGAAAACTCACAAAATCAACTTCAAAATAAAGTTTAATAATTTAAATTTTGACTTATAAACATATATAGGCAGTACATGTTCAAGATTAATAGGTAATTAATGTTCTTTTTAGATTGTGGAATATTTCGTTAATTACTGAAACATCTTTCAGTAAAGTTTGTGACGTGTTGTTATTTGTTGCATCAAAATTATATGTGTATATTTAGTGTTGGAAAAAATAATTTCTTATATATATTAATTGTAGTACAAAAATGGTATTTTAAAGACCATATGATGTTTAGAACAATTTCTCTCTCTCTCTCTCTCTTTTTTGTCGTGTTGAGTAAATTGTGAATTAAGCAATGAGCTAGCTAGTTAGGTTCAATGTTTGTTTGAAGTTAAGACATTTGTGTCACTGGGTCGGCCGAACACTCCAACTAATCTTATGCAAAACTAGCTAGTAGCATTTTGCACGAATTTTGTCTTAGATACTCCACTGTCTTCTCAAAGTCTTTCGATCAATTACTTTCACCAGCTTGTGTAGCAAAAGATTGATTTGTGCCGAACATACTTTAGCACACGAACCGGCCACACTTGGATCAAATTAAAGGGCCTTTTCTCTAGCTAGTGTTGGATTATATCATGAACCATGATTATTTTGCTTCAATTTTCAATCGAGAGAGACTTGGCAAGTACTAAAGATTTAAAAAAATTATATAGCTAGTGGATAATCCATGCCAGTGGAAATGCAAAACTAGCTACAGTTGATTATGACCAGGTATCGATCGGTCCAGGATTTTTCAGGTGGGCGCCGCTGGTATACCTGAAACTGTAGAACAATTAATACTCCCTCCTTCCCTAAATGTTTGTCACCGTTGACTTTTTTAACATGTTTTACCGTTCGTTTTATTGAAAAACTTTTGTGATATGTGTATAACTATATGTATACATCAAAGTATATTTAATAATAAATCAAATGATAGAAAAAGAATTAACAATTACTTAAATTTTTTGAATAAGACGAACGGTCAAACATTTTTAAAAAAGTCAGCGGCGTCAAATATTTTAGGATGGAGGTAGTATATTCTAACTGAGCCTTTTTTTTATTTTAATTTCACTGCTTGTTCTCAAATAAAAAATGGTATATAATTTTCATGAGATTCATGAAAAGGAAACAAAGATCTTCTCTCATTGAATCTAGAGTTGCCTTGACTAATAGTAGTACATGTGGTTCAGTGGATGTGGAAAGTTTGTTGGTGAAAAGGTAGGCTACACAGTGGGCAATAGTAATTTTGACTTAGTGTTCTTTTACGTCCACAGTCTTCAACATAGGAGTACTAACTTTGGTCATCATTTTGTAGTTACAGTAAAATATAAGAATAAAAATATAATATTATGAAAACATTTTTAACAACAAATTTGTATAGATCTTTTGTTGAGTTAAAGAAACATGGGGGTAAAGGTAGCGTGGGGTAGCCCTTAATGTAGGACGCCGTTGACTTTTCGACCAACGTTTAACCATTCGTTTTATTCAAAATTTTTACGTAAATATGAAAATATTTATGTCATGCTTAAATAATATTGATGACGAATCAAATCACAATAAGATAAATGATAATTGCATAAATTTTTTGAATAAGATGAATAGTCAAACGTTAGATAAAAAAATCAACGGCGTCATACATTAAAATATAGAGGTGTAGTACATTATAGGACCCACTAGCCACTAGAGTTAAAATCATTCCGTGCCCGCAAATATTACTCGTGTACTGGTGCACTTTTAACGTAAGGAATTTAGAGAGGATATATGGGTGGTTCTCGTCTCTTTAACCTTACATCAAACATGACCATTCGCGTATGATATATGCTTTTTTTCTCTCTCTGTAATCGTGGAAAAAAGAAATTCAAAAAACCTGACGGTCAAGTGGAAAAGAATTAATGGAGGGCTTCGTTAGTGCTTAATAAGTTGTTGTGTCGGTAAAAGGGACGGTTTAACCACCCGCACGTAAGGTTGATGATCGATCTACGGACTACGATCCAACGGTTCACGATGCGTGATGCGATATACCAGTATGTGATGTGACAATGAACGGTGGTTGCTGCGTCGTTACTAGATGATGCTAGAACACTCACAATCTCACTTAGCTCTCACTAACAAAGTGATAAGCTCTAGTACTATCTACCTAATTAGTTAGTGACAATCACCAACATTTGATTTTAATTACCTACCAACTCAATTTTCTTCAAATCCGTTGAAAATTGAATCGATATGTATAAAATTCAGCAAAATTACAATGAAATGAAATTGAGATGCCCAGGTAGTGCAGTGACAGAAGATATATGGTTTCAAACCCTAAAATTCCGTGTTCAATCCAAAACATGCTTAAATTTTCTTTTTAAAAAATGTTTGGAGGAAGTCTCTCTTTTCAAATCCTTTTTTTACAAAAATTACAATGACATTGATCATGTTAATTATTTTTAAAAATTGTTTGTAGGGAGTCTCTCCCTTCAAATCTTGTTTTTTTAAAAAATAAGAATGAAATTGATCATGTGTGTTTTAAATTTGCAGGTGACGGAGTTCACGTGTGGCGGGTTCGTGGTGGGGCTCATCTCGGTGCACACCATCGCCGACGGCCTCGGCGCCGGCCAGTTCATCAACGCCGTCGCGGACTACGCGCGCGGCCTCGCCAAGCCGCGGGTGTCGCCGGTGTGGGCGCGCGACGCCATCCCGGACCCGCCCAGGATGCCGGCGCCGCCACCGCGGCTGGAGCTGCTCGACCTCCGCTACTTCACCGTCGACCTCAGCCCGGACCACATCGCCAAGGTCAAGTCCGCCTTCTTCGAGTCCACCGGCCACCGCTGCTCCGCCTTCGACGTCTGCGTCGCCAAGACATGGCAGGCCCGCACCCGCGCCCTCGTCGCCGCCGCCGCCGCCGCCGGAGACGACGACCAGGAGCGCCGCACCGTGCGCGTCTGCTTCTTCGCCAACACGCGCCACCTGATGCTCAAGGGGGACGGCGCGGCGGCGGCGGCGACGGGGTTCTACGGCAACTGCTTCTACCCGGTGGCGGCGGTGGCGAGCGGCGGCGAGGTGGCCGGCGCCGACATCGTCGACGTGGTGCGCATCGTCCGGGACGCGAAGGCGAGGCTCGCCGCCGACGTGGCGCGGTGGGCGGTGGGCGGGTTCGAGGAGGACCCCTACGAGCTGACCTTCACCTACGACTCCCTCTTCGTCTCCGACTGGACGCGGCTCGGCTTCCTAGACGCCGACTATGGCTGGGGCACGCCGTCGCACGTCGTGCCGTTCTCCTACCACCCGTTCATGGCCGTCGCCGTCATCGGCGCGCCGCCGGCGCCCAAGCTCGGCGCGCGCGTCATGACCATGTGCGTCGAGGAGGCGCACTTGCCGGAGTTCAGGGACCAGATGAACGCCTTCGCCGCCGCCAACTAGCTACACATGCTTATACTATCATATCATGCACACTAGTTAATTATATTAATTACAGTAATTATAATCCTTATTAGTATTAATTAATCATCAAGAGGGACAGTGCAATTAATTAAGCATTGTCTCATGCAACTCTGATCGATCGATCGATCGGTGTGTGTACGTAATTCGGCTGGTTAATAATGGATTTGCAACTTCCTTCCCCCGCAGTAGACATATCTAGTTAATTGCGTTGTGTAAGAGAAATTATTTTTCCTTCTAATATATTGACTTGTAATTGTGTTGCGCGTTCACGAAAAATAATGGATTTGCAAGTAGTATTAACAATTTGGGTTGTGCTTTAGTCGGTCTCTAATTAAAATATATGGTACCCTCTGAATTAATTTGCCACGAAATTTAAGTGTGGTTTATTAATTAATCAATTAGCTTGCTTCTACTGTGTGTTTGTAGATCTTGTTAACTACTATAGTGCTCAAGTGCCGAGTGGAATAATGGTTGCTGTAATTTGTACACCGAGTTAATTATGATGGAGCTTTTTATTTTTTTTCCAAAAAGGCACCTCCTCTTTTGATCTAAACTACTACCTGATCTGTTCCACGAAAACTTACTCACTCTTTCCAAAAAAAATATAGCATCCAAAATTTATCCCAAAATAGATACGGTTATAATTATATTAGCATTTCAATTTTAAGTATTCCTTATTGAAATTCTTCTCCACCTTACCCTCAACCATCGATCCTCTTATTTAATGGAAGCATATAGATTATTTTTCCTCTGCCAATTTATCCTTTGAATGCTATAATTGCATTTTTTTTTCAAAACCAAATGGAGGGCACGCACATTAGAATTGTGCTCCAGACTAAATGGAGGATGTGTTCGCTATTACCTGTTCCCAACCAGAACCCTCCGCACGAAAAACGGAGCGGTTTATTAGCGCGTGATTAATTAAGTATTAGCTATTTTTTTCAAAAATGAATTAATTTGATTTTTTTAAGCAACTTTCGTATAGAAACTTTTCGTAAAAAACGTACCGTTTAGCAGTTTGAAAAGCGTACGCACGAAAAACGAGAAAGAGTGGTTGGGAAAAGGGGTGTCCGAACACACCCTAATACCCACACGGTATCATGCCATTCTTAAACGAGATCCCACACTCTTACAAAACCCCATTATTATGAACTCGGCTTCAAAGATCTTCCATTATCCACCAGCATTTTAGGGCCCCTTTGAATCGCAGGGTAGAAAAAACGGAGGAATAGGAAAACACAGGATTCTAACAGGAATTGAAGTGTAAAACAGATGATTGTAAAACACAGGAATGGTCATTTGATTAGAGCGCAGGAAAAACGCAGGAATCGGATGAGAGAGATAGACTCAAAGGAAATTTTTCAAGAGGTTAGAGCTCTTGCTAAATTTTCTTCAAAATCCACATGCAATGTACTATTTTATAGGAATTTCATAAGATTTGGAAAGCTTCAATCCTTTGAATCAAAGGAACAAATAGGAAAATTTTCTATAGGATTTGAATCCTATGAAATTCCTATATAAATCCTTTGATTCAAAGGGGCCCTTAGAAGGCCCCCACCCACTTCTTGATCCCCACCTAACTTGGAGCCTATGATTACTCATTTGATCCGCTAGCTCAATTACCTGATGGCTGATCGATGCGCTCCTAGATGACCTGTCTAATTTGACTCGAATCACCTGTTCATTCAGGGGTTCGCATTAAGATTGCTTTGTCCACCTTAATTAGGATCACATCGTGTGATTTTAGATCACTGATCGACCACCTGCTCCTGTGACATTTTGGTCGTCATTCTATTCCTCATCATCTATATCTCCGTACTGAACAGGACATTCGTTGATCGAGACCTGATAGGAATTCGTTCGGTTAATTTGAGTTGGTCAGAAAGTTGGTGAAGGAGATTTGAACTTACTGTCGCTTTAGCTGGCCAGTACTCCAGTAGTATCCCCCCAGCTGTCTGACGTAGACACCTACATCGATGAGAATATATAGCAAGCAAGCCTAATTAATCTGTCATATATAGCAAATATTTACTGTAGCACCACATTGTTAAATCATGATGCAATTAGGCTTAAAAAATTCGTCTCTTAATTTACATGCAAACTATACAATTAGTTTTTTTCATCCATATTTAATGCTCTATACATGTGTGTAAGACATTCGATGTGATGTAATTTTTGGAAGTTTGAAGGAAAATAAACAGTCCTCGTTTCGTTTATGTTTCAGACTGTTGCAAGCTTACTTCAGGCTGCCGTCGGCCTGACGCTACCTTTTCTATCCTTTTGGAGGGGACCAAGCTACTACATGTACATGTTGGGAGATTTGCATTTCAGATGGAAACAAAAGTTCAGATCATTGGATGAATGTCTCTCAAAGTTCTTATACAAATATCTATAAATAATCAACTTTTATATATATCGTGTTTGGATACAGTGGTACACAGAAAATTAATTAATGGTTCAATTTGCCATTTGAAATAAACGAAAAAAGTCCCGGCCTTCTTTTCTGCTAAATGGATGAATGGATTAATATACACGTTTCCCAAACTTTTAAACGGTACTTAATCACGTGAAATGAAAAATCATTAGCGCCTGATTAATTGAGTTATAATTATTTCAAACTTGAAAAATATATTTTCTTATATTTTAAAACAACTTTATATAGAAATTTTTCACAAGAAACATATTGTTTAGCAATTTAAAATACGTGCTAACAGAAACTGAAGTAAAATATCTATATTAAATTCTTAATCCCAAAAAAAGTACCTAATAATACCTTAAAAGTCCAAATTCTTCTGTTGTTATAAGATTTTGGGCCGTCTGATAAATTTACCGTCATTCTTTCTCTTCTTATATCATCCAACCCATCTTGCGATCTTTTTTTTTTTGAGGGGGTAAAGGGCAGGAGCTCTGCCAATTTCATATCAGGAGAAGGGAGAAAACAGAGTTTGTGCAAGCTATGGTTGAGGATAGGATTTTTAGGTAATGCAAAGCAACTAGTAAGAGGATATGAGTGCTACTCATCTAAGTTATGAGCTCCATCATAGGTCTTACACATGGCGATGATTGAATCAACAACTTACATCACTGTGCTATAGGCGCCGTTGAAAATCCTGGTATTTCATTGAAGCCAAATACCCCAAGCTATATAGTATATAGATGAAGAGGTGATCAAAGCTTCTTTGTTACTTGACCATCTCTTTTCTACACGCTGTCCACCAACCTAGCATATCCCCATCAAAGCTTCTTCTTTTTTTCCTTGACCCATCTTGCGATCTAGGGCCAATAAAATCGAAAACGGGCTGAAAGTAGGTCTGGTTTTCTTGATTAGGGCCCAATTCCAGCCCCCAAGGCTTGTTTTGGGCCGTTTACACAAAATCTTGTTTTGGCTCCATTTCTCAATGAAAAATGGAATTGGAACTGAAAAAAAAAAGGAAGACGAAGATGACAAATTTAAAGTTTAAACAGGCAAAAAGTTGGTGCCATTCCTGCTAAAAAACTAGCTTCCGTATATATCCGAAAACTGATTTTCTGATGATTGTAAGATTCCGGCTTCTGACGATGATCAGAACTGTCTGATGGAACTCACGGTTGGTAAAACAAAAACTGAAAATTTGGTTGAATTGAAATATTATCTCATCACATGCTTCTTGGTTTCAAAGAAACTTTAATTTTGTTTTGACAGTTGGAATCGATTTGATTCGGATCACATCTAGCTTTTGTAACAAATCAATCCTGCAGGACCAATATAGCTTTGCATGAAAATGACCTGAAGAATGCATATGAGAAAAGATAAAAGCAAGCTCTTGAACCATGCATTTTGCTCTTCAGTTTTCACTAGATGTACTACAGGCCAAGGAATTGGAATCGATATATCGACTTGATCCAGAATGATATTGTTGCCGATTCATCGCGAGTCGCCATCCGTCAATTTCATTAGTTCACTGATGATGACCTACAAATCTTAATGCCGGGCTAGCTTGCTTGCTGCTAGCTGATGATCAGTAGTATTAGTCAGGGTTCACAATTCCGACGAAAACTGGCCGAATTTCATGAAATTTTGAGGTTTCGACGAGGCTTGGAAGTAGAAGCCATCTGAGATTTCGATGAACTTCATCCAAATTCAACTTTGAATTGATAAAAAAAGGAAAAAAAATCTTATAAATAGTATGATATTCATAGAACCTATTGTGATATAAATTTTCGAAAAAAAATAATGTATTCCGTGTATTTACTGAAATTTATAGTAGGAAAGAAAAGAATAATGAATTAAAAAAGGAAAACAATTTCAGTTTACTTCTTTTTCTAGTTATCGATTGAAATTTCGATGATTTTGCTTGGAATTTCGCTAAAATCGACCGGTTTTCACGAGCTAATCGGTAAACTCAGGGAATTTGTATTCAAATTTTGGTTTATGAAATTTGTTCAGAATCTACCGATTTTTTTACTAGATTTCGCGAAAACCGTTATTCCGCCAGAGCTCAAAACGGGAGGCCATCTCGAAATCGTAAACCCTGGTATTAGTACTACGGCAAGTGTTGATGATCATGGCCTAATTAGTGCATGCACGGTTCAACTTATTGTTAGGAGTACTAGCTATTTTAGCTAACAATGTTTGCGTCTAATTATTGGTTGGACTTCGACTCTGATGGCGATGAAGATGACTAAGGGGGTATTTAGGCCATGTTTTTTTCAGCTTGGGATTATTATAATCTAGATTATTAAGTCAGATTACTATAAACTAGATTGTTGTAATCTGTAGTAGAATAAGCGGTTAGTTGTTTCTTTCCTAGATTATTAGAGCCTAGATTATTGGGTTTGCAAGTCTAAAGAGAGAGTGGGGTGGCATGGTGGGTAATTTTTCACCCAATAATCTGGAAAAGCTCACCTAAATGAGCTTATCAGATTATAATAAGCTGGACTCTAGATTATAATAAGCTACTTTAATAAGTTGTTTGTTTCTTTCAGTTTACTCCCAATAATCTGAATTATAATAATTCAAAGATGAAAGAAACGGGACCTTAGATTCAGGGGTGTAAAGTTTTGGCGTATCATATCGGGTATTATAAAGGGTGTCGCATGGGGTATTCAGGCACTAATAAAAAGACTAATTACAGTATCCGTCAGTAAACCGCGAGACAAATTTATTAAGCCTAATTAATCCGTCATTAGTATATGTTTACTGTAGCACCACATTGTCAAATCATGGAACAATTAGGCTTAAAAAATTTGTTTCGCAAAGTAGTCGCAATCTATATAATTAGTTATTTATTAGCCTATGTTTAATACTTTATGCAGGTGTTTAA